ATTAGGAAAGAATATAGTATAATGAAAGGGACATGGTTTTATTTGTGTGTGTGTGTGTGTGTGTGTATGTGTCACACACACATGTGAAGGTCATAAAACACTTTGCTTGGCTACCCTCATTTTCCAGCTTTTGTGAGGCAGGGTGTTGCTGTTGTCTGGGGCTGTGGTGCATGGAGCAGACTGGCTGCTCTGTGAGCTTCTGGGGATGCTATTGTCTCCACCTTCCACCTGCCTGCTGCTGTTCTGAGGTTACAGACAACATACCCAGAGTTCTGTGAGTTTTGGGAATGTGAACCAGGTCCTCATGCTGCATGGCGAGTGCTTTACCACTCAGCCATCTCCCTGGCCATGAGGACACAGTTAAAGGCAAATGGACTTGGGTTCCTGTTGCCACAGGCTTGTATGATTTAACTTCCTGGAGCTTCCATATCCCCAATAGAATGGAGGCAAGACCTATTCCTGAGTTGATTTGATGATTGAATGAGACATCACATGTGGTGGCAAAGAGTTGTGCTAAGCAGATGACAATTTGGATCACATCTCCTAAGGACAAGAAACAGATTTATTTAGCTTTTGAGACAGTCTATCCTGAAACTTGCTATGTAACTTAATGTGGTCTTGAACTTGAGATTCCCTTGCCTCAGTCTCCCAAGTGCTACAATTGCAGATTTGTATCATGGCCCTTATTCTCTTACCAGGCTGAGTGAATGACTGTGGCTTTCAGAGCTGTCCTTCCAGGCCACTAGCTCCACAGGGAGACCTCTGGTACCTTCTCGTTTCTGGAAACAGAAGCCCTACCACCTTGGGTCATGGTTCTGTGTGTCTCAAAAATAATATGAAATAAATGGCCAAGCCTGTGAACTTAATAATTCAAACAGAAAGACACAGTAAAAATAGGTGGGCTTGGTGATGCACACCTGCAATCCTAGCCCTCAGGGGGCAGTGGCAGGAGAATCAATGGCAATTTCAAGGCCAACCTGCTCTACACAGAGCAATAAGGCAGACCTAGGCTACTTAGTAAGGATCCGTCTTTTAAATCTCCATATCCCTCATGCAAGTTCAGTTGGTAGAGTGTTTCCATAGCGTGCATGATGCCCTGGATTTAATCTCTTTAGCACTGCATAAATCAGGCATGCTATCATACACCTGTAATTTCAGGGTCATTCTTGGCATTTTGAGTTCAAGACCAGCCTGGGCTATGTGAGACCATTTTCCCAAATAATAATAAATAAATGGATATATAGATAAATAAATAAGAGAAAGAAAGAGAGAATAAAATGAAGTTCTTCTTTCTAATATGAGCACTATAAGTAAGTAATATTTTACATATGACACAATTTAAATATACAAATAGTCTTATGAGCAGTGCAGCTATCCTCCAGCCCTGCTAGTTAGCAGCCCCACCTCAGAGGGCTTCCTCTGAGAGACCTACCTTTAGCCTTCCCTCAGCCACAGCCTGCCATTTAACTCTCTGGTTTTTGTTTTGTTTGTTCGACACAGTTTCTTACTGTGTAGCCGAGACTGGAATCCAACTGGCAATCGTCCTGCCTTGATCTCTACAGGTGTGTGCCATGGTACCCGGCCCACCAGACTTTCTGACAGGGATGATAGATTGTTTGGCTAACTGACCTCTCTCGTCCTGCCTAGGGGAGTTTTCCTGATGCTCTACTGCTAAGGGCACATGAGAAGGGTTGTGTAGTCTTTTGCTGTCCCTAGTCTCCTCCCTTTAACAACTTAGTAACAGAGAAAGGGGGTGATCACCCATGCTGACAGTCATGATGGCAGCAGAGCCTTGTCTATACACTGTGTGACTGTCATCTCAGGATGGCTTTCTCCCACCACTCAGGAACTTCCAGGTGGCTGCTTCTTCTAAAAGTGGCTGTGAGTGCAAGGAGTACACACAGAACATACCAGCAAAAGAATCCCAATTATCCAATCTTGTAAAAACTGTAAACCATCCTTTAAGGCTAAATGTGGATTGTTTCTGTGCAGACATATGAACAGGTAGTTAAAATGCACTGTGATGCTTATTATATTGTAGTTGCTAATTAACCGATCCTAGGGGAAATCAGCCCTGTTTCTCCAAAGTGGAACATTTGAGCAGGTTTGAAAGGATGCATAGGAGTTTATCTGAAAAGGACAGAAGCAAGAACGAGTATTTCAAGAAGGAACAACATTTTCCCAGACAGAGCCATGCAAAAGTTTGGCTATTCCAGAGACAGCAGAATACTTGGCATGCCAAAGACATACAGCGTCTGGCAGGTGAAGCCAGAGATGAGGCTGGAGGGAGGTAAGGCCAGGTTGTTGATTAAACCTTTAATCCCAAACAAAGGCTTTGTCTTTAAGGCCAAGAAAAGCAGAAGCTGTGCTGAGATGCTGTATCTGAACCACTCAGTCCCTCCTTTTCCACTCTGCTGTACTACTGTCTCTTACGTGTGAGCACTGGGTACTAGGAGTCAGGAGTGAAAGTAACTTTCAGCACTCAGAGCAGACTTCTGTTCTGAAGGTGAATACATCTAGTAGGTGGGGGAGACAGTCACCTGACAGCCAGATGATGTCACCTGTGGAGAGTGTTGACCAACAGGAAAATACCCAGGGGATTTGGATGTAATTCTGCCATTTAAATCTTATTGTTTTCTGTGATTTTGTGGATTTTCCAGATGGTGATAACGAGCTTTTTCTGTAAAATAGGCCACTCCAAAAACTTGGTGGTTAAACCAAATGTCTTTGGTGTGTCGTTCTCCGGTTTGTGATCTAGACTGGAATTCTCTGGGTAGTCTGGGCTGAGTTGGGATGATCTTGGCTGTTCTCCTGTGCCTTTATTAGATTGGTGGGGTACTTGGTCTGGCTGGTGTAGGGTGGCCTTACAAGGAGTGCTTGGGACGATCCTGTCCTCTTCCTCAAGGCCTCATGCTTTTCAGCAATCTGAATCTCAGGTTCAACTTTTCACAGAGCAGCTAGTGAGTTCTAGGAGCAAGAACAGACTTGTGCAGGGCCCTGAAGTCTAGTCACAGATTCAGTGGGTGGGGATGGGGAGTCCTCTCTCTCCTTGGTGTGTATGTGTGTGTGCATATGTGTAGTGTTTGTGTATGTGTGGGTGGTATGCACATGTGAAGATTACAAGTCAACATGAAGTATCTACCTCAGTTCCCCTCTATCTTATGAATTGAGACATGATTTCTTACTGAACCTGAAGCTAACCCAATTTGGTTAGGCTAGCTGGCAGGAGAGCTCCAGGAACTTGCTTGTCTCTGCCCCTGCTTCTCCCCATCCCCAAGAATCCATTTTGATGGTAGGACCACAGGAGAGGCCAGGCACAGTGGTAAATGCCTTCAATCCCAGTACTCAAGAGGCAGGTGAACCTCTATGAGCTCGAGGCTTATCTTGGCTGTATAGTGAGTTCCAGGCCAGCCAGGGCTACATAATGAAAGTGTGTCTATAAAAAACAAAGGAGATCACAAGGACTTCTTTCTGGGAGAGGAAGAATTTGTGGCAGTTTCTCAGTGTGTCCTGTTCTTTATCTGCTTTTCCTCGTACCATGGAGAGGACATGAGAGAGATTCTGAATTCAAAGCCAATATTTAAGGAGAACTATGTTTTCTCAAATATTAATTTAATTCTCACGACAACCCTAGTGTGTGTGTGTGTGTGTGTGTGTGTGTGTGTGTGTGTGTGTGTGCATGTGCTATAGCACACATGTAGAGGTCAGAGGACAACCTGAATCTTTTCTCTCTTTCCACCTGTGGGTTCAGAGGTTAGCATGATGGTTGTCAGGCTTGGCAGCAAGCACCTTACCCCACTGAACTATCTCACCAGCCTGTCTTTTTGCCACAAGGTCTTGCTCTGTAGCCCTCACTGCCCTTGAACCTGTGTTGTCTTGTACCTCAGATTCCCTAAGTGCTGGAGAGTATAGATGTGTAGCACCCTTCCTGTCTATCGAAGGAACTCTCATTTTTCTTTCTTCTTTTACATATAATGAAATAGGAATAGGGGAGTCAGTTGATGAAGCATCTTGCCCAAGGTCACTGGGTGGCAAACCTTGTATTTGGGCTTGCATTTCTTTGGGTGCATTGTAGAGCGCTTGCCTCGGTACCATTCGTTACTGTGTTGATGGGATGGGGCAGAGGAGACTGTGAGAGTATTACTACACGTCTTGTTACCATCAGTTCCTTTTTGCGTCAGCCTCATCTATGAACACAGATACCTTGCCCTCTTCAAGAGACCCATTCCCAGAGCTTTGTCTGTTTTTAGAATGGGTCTAAAGAGTCACAGTAGTCTCCAGGGTGGCAATCTCCTGTTGCGTGTGTAATTTAGATGCCCACTACGCTAAGGAATGTGTTGGAAACTGTTGTATTCCTCTGGGAGAGGGAGTGAGTCAGGCTGTTCACAGGTGGTCCATGTATCTAACCTGGTCTAGGACTGTAGGTAGAGACAGCCCAGAAACTGACTTCTAAGCTCCAGGAGCAGACTTATTGGTTAAACCAAGAGATAAGTACTCCCTAAGTGGGCAGGCATAGCAGGTGGACATGGGTCTTCCTCTTGCTAGGGAACTCCTGGAAGCTCTAACTTTGAGATCTCTGATGCAATCTGGCTAACATGGTAACTTTAATGATTGCCACTGTCCTCTGGCCTACACTAACCCTCCCAAGCCCAGGAACTGGGACCTTGGGCTGTAGAATGAGGAACTGGAGGAGCAGGAGGCACCTGATTGTCCAAAGCAAAGAGGCCTGAGCTTACAATAGCCTGGTTCCTACAGAGGAAAGGAAGATAAGATTAGGCAAAAACAGGGATGGAAGGAGACTAGTCCAGTGGTCTGTAGGGCGGGCCTCTGATGGGATGGTCATATTCATGGTAGCTGCAGGCTGTGTTACTGAGCAGGGATCACTTTGGCACAGGGGATGTTGCCCATATCTGGGTGCTGAGTATTAGAAAGCCTCCTTCTAGGCCTTATTATAATCCACTCTGTTGCCTTGACGCCATTGTCTGTCTTTCCCCCGCTAGAGCTCATCTCCTGTCCTGGATGTCAGCGCATCTATCTTACCAGAGATGTAACTGAATATATTTTTCTTCAGCACGTTTCTCCTGTGAAACCCACAATGGCCAGGGTAAGTCAGGACAAGGGAATTTGCAGGTGATGGTTTACAGAAATTGATGAGACTCCTGTCTATAGGTCTAGCTTCTATCACTGACTTGTGACTCCACCACCAGCTTTTCTTATCCATCCGTCCATCCATCTTCCCATCCATCCACTCAGGAGGAAATAAAAAAAAATGTTCAAATTGTGAGAAGCAGAGTAATTTTCTTCTAGGTGAAATTACATGCTTTGAGTGGAAGGTGAAGGTATCTTAAGGCACATAAATATATTTCAGTGTTTTCTTTTTTCATGGCTCCTAGTGAAAGCAACAGTACTAGGCCTTTCTTTTTCTTTATCTTCCCGCTAAGTTGAAAATTCACACACCAGCTTAGATGTAATGGGCTCTAAATCTTGTCTGTAATAGCTCAATGTGTCCCCCGTGTTTCTGAATTTCACATTACTTACGGACTTATGCCTTCTCTCTGTCCTGGCATATCCTTATCACTACATTTCACCCACTTGCTAATTTACTTGTTTCTGCATCTAATCCCTATGACTGTCTAATGCGCTGGGGCTTGCGGTGCGTAGAAGATAGACTCTGGCTACTTCTAAGACGTTCGTAGGAAGATTCGTCACGCTTTCTGGTTTAGTGGCTTGTGTGAGTTGGGCATGGACTAGGTAGATTATTGGTCTATATCTCCTCATTTTGTGATAGTTCCCACCAGATCTAGCATTACGTCTGCTGATGAGACAACCAAACATTTGGGCGAGGTGAGGAGGAGGTGTTAAGTCAGGCAGACTCCAGGTGTGAGGCGCAACTCTGAAGCCAGCCCTGCGTGCTCTGTCTGCTCAGTGTGTCCATCTCCCTAGGTACTCTGACACCTTAGGCCTTCTCCCCTTTGAAGAAGTTGAATGCTCTGCTTTTGTTTGACTTTTTTCTCTGTTGTAACTTCCCCTCATCTACCTCCTTGCCATTCAGCACTCAACATAGCTGTTTCCTATTGGTGAGAAAGTTCCCAGCCACTCTTAGGCCTAGTTCTTGGAAACCTCCTTTTGAAAATGTCCTTAGCACTTGCCATGTGTTTTTCTCCCAGCATTACCCATTCTGTGCGAGCCTTGATGGAAGAGCCTTGGCTTACTGGGTTACTTTAGCTTTAGTAGCGGGTAGCCACTGTCCTTTCAGTCACAGAGGGAGCTTTTCTGCACAGACTGAGCCAGGCAGCCCTCCTGTAGACTCCACTCCTCAGTCCTGGTGAAACAGTCCATCAGGGCCCTGCTCCCTAGAGCATTTGCTGCTTGCAGCTGCAAGTCTCACCGTTGAGACGGTCACTGGTTTTGGACTCTCTGCTTCCAGAACTGCTCGGAGTGCAAGGAGAAGCGGGCAGCACACATCCTCTGCACGTACTGCAACCGCTGGCTGTGCAGCTCCTGCACAGAGGAGCACCGGCATGTCCCAGCCCCGGGGGGCCCACTCTTTGCACGGGCACAGAAGGGATCCTCAGGTACCAGACCCCTACCCTGCTTCTGTGCGGAACCCTCAAGTGCCTAGAGAGTAGCTCTCTGACTTCCTTTTCCAGCCAAGGGAGACAGTGGGGATGGTTTCTAAGTCTTTTGTAGAGGAAGAATGCGTCCCTCAGAGTCAGAGGGGTGACTCACTCCAGCCTTTCACTGTAGGGCCGGGGGTGGGGGTAAGTGTGGGTGAGCTGGTGCTGGGAGCATGGTCTTCAGTCATGGAAGCTAGTCAAGCTCCCAGCCTCTACTTCTATTTAGAGCATTATGTCTCACACACAGAGACTTAACAGTCTAGTCCACTCTTGCCCTTTTGTCCATCCCGCACTGTCTGTTTTAAGCAGCATTCTTTTAGGAAGTCTTCTTTGTCTTGAGGGAGAGGTTTTATGTTTGTCAAGCCCACAGGAAGCAGAGTTGGTCACATGAACTAGCCTGAAGCCCAGCAAGGCTGAGTAGTTGGTTTTAGCTCCATCAGCACAGAATCCTGGTTAGTGAAGAGGCTTAGGTTGGTTTGGAAGGGTTTCCCATTGTGCAGAGAGCAGGTGCAAGTGCTCTCTTCACCTCTGGCAGGCGGTGAGACACCAGGGCCTGAGAGTGGGAGGTTTCTGGGTAGCTGAGCAAATCTATCCAGGCCAAGCTTGAGACCCCTCCTGTTTGCATCTCCTCCCCCCGAGCACTGTGCCTGTGTCATGTCCCTCCAGGGCTGAGCTGCTCATCAAAACTTAACAGGAAGGTCTTCGTGAACAGAAGCCCACATCTGTCTTCTCTCACAGGGGTGAATAGTGGCTCTGGGGACTTCGCCTTGTACTGCCCTCTGCACACACATGAGGTGCTCAAGCTCTTCTGCGAGACGTGCGATGTGCTCACCTGCCACAGCTGCCTAATGGTGGAACACAAGGAGCACAGGTGGGCTGCCGGGCTGCCTGGGTGGGCTTGGGAGGCTCCGCATTGCTTTCCGTGAGAGCTCTGGCCTGTGAGATATCAAAACCCTCTCCCTGAAGCAGGGAAGGTATGGTGGCATTCGTCTGTAATCCCAACACTTGGAAGGCTGAGGCAGGATGGGGGTAAGTTCAGGGGACAGTCCAGGCTACATAGCAAGTCAGAGGACAACTTGATTATATAGTGAAACTCTGTCTCAAGAAACAAAACACAAAACAATCTGCTCAAACGGACCTGGAGCACCTGGGCTGAAGTGTCTCTCTTCTCTTGTGAGACTTATCTACAGTCCAACGAGTCTGATAGATGAAGAGAGTTTGGTGCCGTGACTCAGTGTGTGCTCCTGGCTCTGAGGCTGAGAGTGCACCGTGGGATTCCCGTGTGCTGGCTGCCTAGGGGAGGAGCCGTCACCCCTCAGCTCTTGCTTTGTCTCTTCTCTTAGATGCAGACACGTTGAAGAAGTTCTCCAAAACCAGAGGATGCTTCTGGAAAGTGTGACTACTCAGGTGGCACATAAGAAATCTGGCCTACAGACATCTGCAAAGCAAATTGAGGACAGGTAGCCTAGGCTAGATCTTGTTAGTGCTGAAAATGATCTGTTCTTTCACCTCTGGGAGATAAAGCACTTGTGTCCCTTCACTTAGAGGTCCCTATGCCAGTGAGGTGTCTGTGAGAGAGCAGTCAGTGACTGGGGCCAGGCTAGCTCAGGGTGATCAGAGTGAGTATGGGCCAAAGTTCTGTGCTTTATGAATCAGCTAAAAATGGGTACCTGAGAACCCATTTGTAGACTCTGGAGAAGGAAATGCTGCTTATGGGATAGTAACAAGTTATGATCTGTCCGTTTTCGTTTCCCATGTAAATATGTAAGTGGCATACTATCATTGCATGCTATCACTGGTATTAGGGAGAGTAGGAATTGGGAACCACTAAGTTGGGAAACATATATTATTTGGTTGGGTTATTATAATTCTTTCAGCCAAGGCTTCTCTCCATTTTACCGAAGAGGAGACAGAGACTCAGACGTTAGGTGACTTACCTGAGCTAACATGGCTAATCAATTTTGAAGCTAGGACTGCCTATAATCTTTATCTTTTAAATATTTTTAATGAGATAATAAATGAAGCTCTTAAAGATGTATAATCCATTGGTTTCAAGTACTTCACAGAACTGTGACATTGAACATTTTCATCACCTCTAAAAGAAACACCAAATATGTTATTGATCACTGCCCTCAGCTCCCACTATCCTCAGTTCTCAGAGGGCCACTGGTCTCTGTACCCCACTCTTGGGCTCTCTCTCTCTCCCACGTCTTGGAGCGTCTTGCTTTTGAACAATCCGTCATATGAAATCACACACATATATCTCACAGGACTGTGCTACCTGGTGAGCTACTGGGTGGGCCTGACTGTGGACTTTAGTTTTACCCAGAGGAAGCCGAGTTAGATCAAGGGGGCTGGGAGGGACACCAAATAGGGATGAGGAAAGCTCTCCTTTCCTTTGGTGCCTGCGTGGCCCTGATCTCAAGGTCCCCCGAAGTGCTTGCTGTCTCTCAGCAAGCAGGAATGGGAGCCGTGTGTTCTGTCCCATTATGTTTACAGGATTTTTGAAGTGAAGCATCAGCACAGGAAGGTGGAAAACCAGATCAAGATGGCCAAGATGGTCCTCATGAATGAGCTGAACAAGCAAGCCAATGGCCTCATAGAGGAGCTTGAGGTATGAGTGTGTGTGTGTGTGTGTGTGTGTGTGTGTGTGTGTGTGTGCTTGTGTGTGCCTGGGCCAGGTCAGAAGTCAATGGCCTCATAGAGGAGCTTGAGGTATGAGTGTGCGCCTGGCCAGGTCAGAAGCCAGGGCTAGCATGCAGATATGCAATCTTTGTAGAAACTTTGATACACACTGTATTTTAAACTTTCTGGTTTAATTTTGGGAGAGTGACTTGCTAAGGCTGGAAAACCAGTTCAACCTCTTACTGATGCAAACTTCCTCAGGTAGCTGCCATCTTAACTATGCCAGTTTGAAGTCTTTAAACAAGAGATTAATTGTCCTTCTTTAGAAGGTTGTATGCAAGAGATGTAGACATTCATTCATTCATTCATTCATTCATATTTTTCTATTCACCACCATTCCACATTTGTTTGTAAAAGTCTCTTACCATCTCTTCTTTTTCTCTGTCAGCAAACAGCTCCAGGCTGTTTTCAGAAGGTCTCTTGTCTGATGCCATCAGTGTTCATACTGACACACAGTGGGCACTAGGCTTCCCAAACAGGTCCATGAACAACGCAGGCTCTGTCTTTTCTCTGTGCACCAGGGCATTACTAATGAGAGAAAGCGGAAGCTGGAGCAGCAGCTACAGAGCATCATGGTTCTCAACCGGCAGTTTGAGCACGTGCAAAATTTCATCAACTGGGCTGTCTGCAGCAAAAGCAGTGTCCCTTTCCTTTTCAGCAAAGAGCTGGTAAGAGGAACCCTGTCCCTCCAGCTTGTCTGAAAGCAGAGCAGAATACTGCTTGCATCACAAGGGGAGGGGCCATCCTTGAAGTGTATGGTTTTGGGAGGAAAGAGGAGTAAGATAGTACGTCCAGCAATCTGTCACACGTAGCCATCGTTTGGGGTTAGTAAGACAATGTCATTTTCTACTAAGTTCCATAGCACAAGGGACCCAGCTGCAGAAATGATCTCGCTTTCTTTCAAATAACCCAGCAAAGAAGACCCGTAGTTCCCATGGATTCAGATATCCTGGGCAGTATGGAGAGATCTCACAGAAGTTTATTAGGTCTAAGTTGAGGAACAGGAGAAAAGCAGGTGTTGGAGAAGATTTAGTCTTGGACTTGGGAGGATAGTGATGCCCTGGAGAAAAGGAGGTGTTTTGTATTTTTTGACAGGGTCTTGCTAGGTAGCTCATGCAGTCCTTAAACTCCTCCTGTCTCTCTTCCCCGAGTGCTGCACTCCGGGCTAGAGGAGGATGAAATTTGAGAGGGGGTTGCATTGACTCTAAAGTGCTTGGAAGGTATCTGAAAAGGGATGTGGAAAGAGCCTGATGGATGTGTCTGAAAGTCAGAAGGAGAGCGGGACTGGAGATTAGGATGTCGTGGCAGTTACTGGGACAATCACCATGGCAGCATCACAGAGGAGAGGAGGAGAGAAAATCTGAAACTAGGAATGTCATTATTTCTACAGATAGGAGAAACCTGAGGAATACAGCTAGAGTGTAGAGGGCAGGCAAGGAAGCACAGTGCTCAGATGCCAGAAGAGTTCTGACTGAAGTCTGCGCTGGCTATACTACAGAAGTGAGACAGGATGGACAGGGATGAGCTGCCCAACAGCTGCAGTCCCAAGGTCCCTGGTGATTTTTTTTAAAAATGTGCATTGGTGTTTTGCCTGTATGTATGTCTGTATGAGGGTGTCAGATCTTGTAGTTACAAACAATTGTGAGCTGCCATTGTGGGTGCTGGGAATTGAACCCTGGTCTTTGGAAAGACATTTGATGCTCCTAACCAATGAGCCATCTCTCCAACTCTACCTGGTGATCTTATAAGGAAGTTCCAGCAAAGTAAACTCAGGAGTCAGACGAGGAGCTTGCACATGGGAGGTGAGGGTTGAGAAGGAAGGGGAAGGAGACAAGCAACCTGGGAAGGATACAAAGCTGGGGGAAACTCTTTTCTTTTTGTAAACCTGGCAAACTTTTATACTTCTATATGGGAGAGAGGTTGACAGTAAAACAGAGAGGTGGGTGGAGTGCATTCTGAGAAAAGGGAAGGGCAGTGCACATAGTTCAGTGTACAAAGTGGAGGGATCTGTGTTTCGGAGAGTTTGGATTTTTGTCTTTTCTGAGACAGGGTCCAGGGAGGCTTCAAACTCACTTTATAGCTCAGGATGACTTGGACTTTTGATTTTCCTGAATTGTATTATGGGCATGCACCACCATGCTGGGTTTATGTGGTGCTGGGTACTAGACCTAGAGTTTCCTGTATACTAGCCAAACTACTAACTGAGCTATATCCCCAGTTCCCAGAGCACTCACTTTTTGTGTTCTCTTTCTTTTTCTTCCATGAGCTACAAGGTGGTAGATGATAAGAGGGTTAGAGATTGGGTGAAATGGCGTGAATGACCTAGCATGGAAGAGGAAGCTGATGAAGGAAGTGCCCAAGAAGGAGTCTGAGGGAACCCTCCACGGGAGCCTCTGAAGCTAATATTCACTTCCATGGCCTTAGATCACAGGCTTTAGGATGCCTGGATTGACCTCCCCATTGGTAGTGGGGAGACTTAGGGCACTATCGTTATGGGACCTGAAGATAGTGGGAAACTGGGAAGACGGTGGCCTGTAGGAGTGGCACTCACAGAGTTCAGCAAGATTGAAGAGCATGTCTCAAGGGATTAGAGTGCCTTAGAATCAGGAAGTAGCTTGTAGGAGTGTATGGCCTCAGAGGGAGAACAAGTCCAGGTGATGGATGGGATCTGTGTAGGTATAGTGACTGAGCCGAAACAGATGGAAGTTGATTGGTTGATTGACATTAGAGAAATCAAGAATGATGCAAGTACCAGCCTGGTCTACAGAGTGAGTTCCAGGACAGCCAGAACTACACAGAGAAACCTTGTCTCAAAAAACCAAAAAAAAAAAAAAAAAAGAATGATGCAAGTATGGACTCAAAAGGTAGAATATATCTGTAT